GCGACAGGGACGGAGTTGTCTAGAGGAGGAGAAAAATTAGAGATTGTTGATGCCGTGAATCAAAGGGTGGAAAATGGGAATGGATCTAAGATTGGATTGTAGGCAGGCAGGCAGCTTACCGAGTACCTACCTGCCTTGCCTCTAATTTAGCACAGTGTCTGCGGTAGCCACTTAACGCGAAGGACGCGGGCGCGGGTAGGAGCTAGCACGGCGACGCGTCAAGACGCGGGGCATTACACGTGCCAACCTATCACATCAACCTCTTGACTCTCATTTGTAGAGGATGAAATGGCTAGGTTCTTATTCAATTAGACCTATCAAGGCCTTGTTCTTCTGTTATCAACCTAGGACGATCCTCTATCATACATCCAAGTATGTGACAGCTAGGTAGTTAATAATCATTATCTTTAGAATGCAATCAATCGATCCTTGACGCAAAGAAACAACCTGGGCACAAAGAGTGTCATGTACAGGTATATGTGCCGTCAACTTCGTGCAACGGTTCTGGTACTCGTTGTCCCAGGACTCCCGTCTGACGAGGCAATTGCAACGGCCAAGCAGCCCAGTTCAAAAGCAAAAAAACATGTCCAATCCTAATCCCTTGCGCCGTTGCTTAACCTTAACCCTTCTATGAAAAAGCGCCGCCCACAAAGAACTGACCATGTCGTCGTGACGCTGCCTTGATGCTGGACGTTTCTATCGGTCTGTGTCTGTCTGTTTGTTTGTTCCGGTTTGATGTATACGTGAGTGAAAAACGAGTGTAGAAAAGCGTGTGTCCGTCCATGCCGGGCCAGGTGATGGTGATGAGTGAATGGCGGGAAGCGATGACAAAAAACTGGCGGCGAAAATGATCGTAACGTTGTGATGGTCGACAATATGAAAGAGATTCGTCCTACATCGATACGATCCTTCCTGCTGGTGCGCTGGCACGAGTTCGTGGTCGTAGATTAATGACTGTCTCCAGCTCGCGGAGCATTCCCTTGGTTGCGTCGATGTGCTGTCGTGCGATGGCTTTCTGTTCCCTCTCCTCTCGGACCTTGAGAATTCTCTCCTCCCTCGTAAGCATGCTTCGTGGTCGCGGACGGGCGACCGCCTCGAATACTTCAAGCTTCTCGTGATCTGCAGACCCGGCATAATCTGAATTTGGAGGAGATTCGCCTGTAAGGGCCTTGAGCGCTTCAGCCGTTCCGCCACCTTCATCCACAGTTGTGAGTCCGCTCAGAGAGCTTGCAGGCGACAGCAGGGTACTCATGGAGGAGAGCCTCTTTTCGTTCCTATCGATACCGAGTGCTAGAGCTGCTCTACCTTCCTCCCATGCCGCCATCAAGTCTTTTAGGTCCATGCCAATTGACTCGAATTGCGCCATGAGATCCGGTCCGAGCTCCGAAATGTCATTAGAATCGTTGAGTGTGCGATCCGACTCTTCTCGGAGTAGTTGAAGTTTCGCTTGTAAGCCCCTGATTCCGCTCGAGAGTGAGTTGAGTTTTCGTAGTTGAGCTCGCCAACGTTCTCGTCCAGGGGTTAGAGCATGTTTTGGCGTTGGTGGCGAAGTGAAAGCTAGATAACGTGTGTAAGCTAGAGAATCAAGTGTGAGACATTGAACCAAAAACTCACTTTGTTCTTCGCCCAAAAGATTCTGCAGCCTAGCAGATGCAGAACTAGTCGAGGCATTGAGGTTGAGAAGGGATTCAACAGCTGTTGTCCAACGAAGCAAGTCATTGGCATCACCGCTGGCATCAAGTGCCAGCAAAGCGCAGAGAAATAGCTTGCGGACGATGAAGAAACGAGCAGACAGGATCTTGAGGGTTCTCAGCGACTCGGGGTCGTCAAACTCTTCTTCGTTGAATCCACGGCGTGCATCTGACATGTCGAAATCGGTTATGTCGTATATGTCGTAGTACTTCTCCAAGTCTGTCTGTTCCGCGAAGCCGTTGACTACAGTGCAGACTTGGTTATATGCGTCAAGCACCTCAGCTAACGATTCCTTAGCCGCCTTGCGCAACCGAACACATTTGCGTGTCTGCGCGCGATCCTCGATGCGGCTAATGGGAGGCAAGGGAGCGCTTCTGTTAAATAGTTAGCAAAGTGCATACCAACGAGACTATAAATAGACTGACAGTCGATATCCTCTGGAGACTAATTCAACCTCCTGTATAAGTGAGAGCGCAGCTCCGGATGCGGTATCGAAAGCGTGCGAGTGCTCGATGAACGCCGTGATCTCCAAAAGTGATTGCGACCGCCGATAACGCAACCACTGCCTCCTCATGTACACTTGCCCTAGTAACATCGCAGCAGCGCATAGGATGAGCAAGAAAATGAGCCTCTTTCTCGTAACGCCACTTTCCACCACCCAGCTCATTATAACTGCAATAGCAAGAGCCGCAAGAATTGATGCTAGGATGCCTTCGGTCGATAACAGTGATTTGGCTTCGTCGTGGGGTGGTCCGTTAGGGCCATTGGCGGTGAGCTGGTGCTGTCCCAACCCTGAGTGACCGCTCAACAACTGCGAGGCAATAATGGTATATCGAAATTGCTCGAGAAATTTGGCGTTATCCGCTCTATCGATACTCGCTGCTACGGCGGCCTATGCAGTGGACATTATGAGCGTTGTCGAGGGATAATTTGAGGCCACATTGACATACCGAGTAGTTCCTCCGCATGGACCGCATCACCGAGGGCTTCGGAACATCTAGTTGAAGAGGGTTGGGTACTTTATTACGGAATCTTGGTTTCACCAAGGGTCGCCCAGTGGGAGCGAAGGGAGATGGACTGGAGGGTGGTGAAGGGCTGGATCGACCGGCGGAGGATTCTGGTTCTGGGGTTGTCGCGCCAGGCGCCCAGTCCGACTGAGGCTCATCTCCCCCATCTTGTAAAAAGTCAGCCATCGAGGCGAAGAGGTTGCTGGACGAGGCTGAGGAGGGAGCTCACCTCTGAGGTAGTCGGCGAACGGGGTCTCCTCATACACCACGGGCTCCATCTAACTGCTGTGTGACGTAGTCGGGGGCGATACGGGATGACGCAAAGCCATCGAGCGTGTGACGGTGAAAGCGCAAGCGCGGGCAGTCTGTATGGTTAGTGTCGTGTTGTCGTGGTGGTTTCGTTGTTCAAGTGCAATGTTCAGGAGAAGCGACACAAGGTGATAGACGACAGTGCAGTGGAGGACAAGGACAGGACAGGCCAGGCTGGTGGTTGAGGGTCCCGATTGGGGAAGCTCCACGGCTACCGTACGGTCCGCGCGCTTCAGCGGTCAACCCGGTATCGACAAGGATGGCGGATAACTAGACGACCGACGGAGAGATGCTAGAGACCGGTGATGCACAGAAGCGAAGTATCAATGTCAGGGCCAGCGAGCGGGAGCATGGACCGTTGAGCTCTTTGGTCCCGGGTCAAATTTCGGGGCCGAGATTGATGGGTACCATTCGTCAACGCATGGAACGTAGACGCAGGGAGACGCAGGGACATGGAATCGACTGCACGCGGGAGAAATAACACGACGTATCAGCGCACAGCAAGGGGCTTCTGGGGCCTCCTAGCCGCATGGATTTGGCTGTCAAGTTCGGCCAGCCTGCTTGTGGTGGCGGAGTCTTCAGGGGTTTGCCTTTTGGGGCGGGAACATGCGCGAGCTGCGCTAAAGGGGTGGAGTGCATTCCAGAGGAGCTGAGCTCGGAGGATGGGATAGTATTAATCCGAAGTCCCTTGCGTTGCTTCCTTCCTTCTTCCGCCAGCAGCTCGGATGCCCCGAAGCCGGCGCCTTACCTAAGCCCGAGACTCCGGGGTAAAGCCAGACTAATCGGCTCTTCCCTGGTTGGCTAGTCCAGATTTTGAGAAACTTCAGATGCTACCCCGAATAGTACATCCCACCTCTCGAGCCTCCCACGCCTCCTCGCCCGTGCTTCCACGGCCCCGACCTTGAGCCGCCTCCCTGACCGCAATGAGGGCGGATGCCTGTGACAAGGTCCATCACGCGAGCTCGCCTTATGCCCCTACGATGTGCCGTTGCGTGCTGTCGTTCGGGCATACACCCTACCTCTCCGAGCTCGCCAGACGCCGTCTGGATCACCAATTCCGTCCTCAACCGAGCCATTGAGCGATTCCACCATGCTCATCCGATTCCATGCAGGCGTCTCAGCTCCTGCCCGGGCCCGATCGAGAGCCGGCGACGTATGGGCAAACGCCACATGACCGCCATCCTCCCTGAATCTCGCGCCTCGCCTTTACCTTGGACGATCGATCTGCCCTACAACCTCGGGGAATGGACCTGGGAAGCTCCTAATGCTCCAGCAGACCGCCACAAGAAAAAGCCGAGCCGCTTCGAGAGGCTCATCAGATGGCTCGAAGGGCCCACGCAGGAAGACGCTTCGATACCTGCTCCGACACCTACGACCCCAGCGGGGACGATACCGGCAGAGACCATATCAAACGCCCAGGAAGTGCTGGTTGAGTTTAGAGATGCTCTCGCCGGCCTCAAAGGGAGACAGAGCAGAGCGAGTCTCAGTAAGGCGTGCGAACCCTACACGAACCGACTTCTTGAATTGATTCGGTTGAGAGCGATCTCCCTCGACGACATGACATCGGCGTTGGATCCATTTGACTCGCGCATTAGGGAAAAAGTGTCGACCCAAGTCCTCGACTGTATCCACGCATGGTACCTGGAAAAGGTCGTCAACGCCATATATACCAGTCGAACCGTACCGTCACATGATGCATTCGGCAAGGAGTTCTGGCACCAATTCTTTGACGTGGTGATCGCGTTGACACCGCAGCGACCGACGTTCCGTCTTTTCCAAATACTTGTGATCAAGGGCGTACAAGACATATCTTTCAGGACGGTTCCAGAGTACTATCAACGCCTATTCCTGGCGCATATCATGCATCAGGCGTCTCTCCGTGTACATAAACCATGCCGAGCCGCAGAACAACATGCAGCGCTTTTCACGGAAATCAAGTTTTTTAGGAAGGGAGGCCTTGTGGAGTTCTGCGACAAACTCATCGAATCCTGCATGGCGATCCCAGGCGACGACGAGTTCCGCAAGGGAATTTCCTATCACCTGCTCCAGACCTTGGCGTATATCATTCCCCTCAGCAAGTCGACTTTTGGTCGATTTGCCAGTCGCATCAACAGGACAACCCCGTGGAAAAAATCCGAGGCCTTCATCCTCGTCAGAGCCCGCCTGCTCTCCAAGGCGCGTAACCGAATCAAGGTGGCAACATATTACCACCGATCCTTGAACCTGAGCGACGGTCAACACTGGACTTGGCTGATCAAGGCTGCCCTCGGCGAAAGCTCGAAACAAAGACAACTCCAGAACCTGCGAACCCTGACTCACTCCTGCAAGATCGTTGGCAGCCTGGACGCGCTTCTCACGACAGCAGCTCGGATGCCAAACGGCGGGTCGCTCCTCCGAGATATGTTGATTGCGAGCCGAGATCCTCATGTCGCTCTCGCTGCGTGGGCGACGTACAACGACGGGCGGGAAACAAAGGCCAAGTGGGGCTGGTACATCTGGCTTCCCTACATTAGGGCCATGATGGAGGACCCTGAGATCAACGTTGCCCTCATCTGGGACGCTATCGACCTTTTGCCGTTCAAGTCCATCCAGACTCTGGCCCCGGAGTACCATTGGGAAGGCATCGGAGACAGGATGACGTTACTGGAGAGGATGGCTGACTGGTACATGTTGAGGACCGACGTCACTCCTCGCCAACAGCTTAGATTCGTCGAGAGATGCATCGCACACGGCCAGGTCGCAGGAGGACCCATGTCGAAGCGCCTCCTGGCCAACCTGGCCAAGCTCGTCATCAGGGATCTAGAGGAGGGCAGCCTGGGCCGCACCGCTCGGTTGAGGTACCTGATCGAGGTGGCAGAACATCACCTGGGTCCAGAGGAAGCGGCAAAGATCAGACATCAGCTGGAAGGATGGAGATGGATCGTTGTCAACCAAGACTTTGGCAACAAGCCCAAGACCAGGTTTAACCTGGAAGAGGAGATGGACGAGCTGGGTGTGGAGATGGATCAATACCAGACCCGCCAGCGACTTCTGGATGAGGAGGAGGAGGAGGAGGAGGATGAGGAGGAACTGATGTCTGAATATGAATATGACGATGACTATGAGTATGAGAGGTATTGAGGAGTCGGCGGGAGCTGAAAAGACGATTCGATGAGCAATGTACACTTAACCAAAAAGCATTACAAGGCATGGCGTGTAAAGAGGGGGGCGTTTGGAACATAACCAAGGCAAAAGCGATGGGCGTTGGGACCAACGATGATATATGCCCTGGTTTCACCTGAGGAGTCGACTCCCTCGGAGGGCATTTGTATGTACAACAATGTAAAAAAACACCATGTATCAAGTATACCAGTTCCAAGTTGTTGTCAAGTGAAGCAAATTCTCAGTCAAGATCAGTCACCAAGGCACAATTGAACCAGAATTGAACAACCAAAGTATTCATTTGAACGTGTCAAGTCACACCATCATTACAACAAATCTAGCTACATGTCGGGCCCAATAAATACAACGACTCATAAGGTGAGAAGCACAGGGCATGGCGAAGACAAAAAAGCAGGGCTCGAGAGTAAAAAAAGAGAAACGGAAAGCCGGCCGTTAAGAAGGAAAAAATAATAAAAATAATACAAGTGAAGAGATAAGAAGAGAAAAAAAGAAAACAGGTGTCGAGCAACATTAGACTGAGATCGTGAGAGCCTTTTTCCCTCCGAGATCGTTAACAAAATGTGTAATAGAAATCCAAAAGACAAAGAAAACGTCGTTCGTGAGATATGCGTTATACCTGAACGATCGGACCCAAAAAACACCGCCCATATCCTTTTTCCGGTGGTATCGTTCCCAAATCCTTCCTAAATCCCTCCTTCTAGATATTCCGCCTCAGCGGGCTGCGGTACCATGCTCTCTGTCGTGACGCTGATGTGGCTTCGCGCGCCAGCAGAGGCATTGCCGCCGTCGCTCGAGGCGGGATAGATGCTCTTGGAGCGAGCAATAAGCACTTGAGCGGGACAGACGACGATCTCTTCGTCGCCCCGTCCATTGTCGTCTCCCTTCTTGACGACAAGTGGGAAGAGAACAACTCGGATAATGGCTCCTTGAGCCTCGAGATCCTCGTTAGACATGCTACTGCTGCCGCTGCGCTCGTTCATCATGGATGCGTTGAACGAAACAGTGGCAGCAAGCTCGCCGTCGGCGTCGTACTCGGGACGCAGAGGCGGTAGCATCATGTATTCAGCTTTCTGCGTACGCATCTCGATCGAGAGACCAACGGCCTCTCTCATGACGCGTCGTAGCTGAGATTGAATTTGATCCTCCAGGTTTGACGGTGGGGGGAGGATCTTGCAAAGCGTCTGGAAGATGGCCTGGACAACGGCCTCTGTATCCAGATCGCGTTGACGTTTGAAGCTGTCACGCTTAGACAGCAATGTAAGGGTGACGGCTCGCCATCGGCGAACCGCCTCGGGAGGGCCGACCTCGGTCAGCAGCTTCTCAAGCGACTTGAGCTTCTGTCTCTGTTCTCGGTCCATGCCAAACAGGTAGCGGGTAAAGATGAACTCCCACACCATGTGCATGGTCATGGACATGAAGATGTCACGTCGCTTGACTCGGTCCCGAAGGTAAATGTCGACATCGGAGCCGTCCAGGACAGCATTGTCGAGGCGGTCAATTATCTTCTCGTCATTGATCTCGCTTGTCAGGCGGCAAGCTCGCATGTCGGAGAACTTGGAAAATCGGAGCACCCATTGCTGGACATGGGAGCATAGTTGTTGGCAACGATGATCAAAGTGATCTTCGTCGCGGATGTTAAGGAAGGCGTCGTCAGCAGCCTTGGTTTCGAGAATCTGACGCTGCAGATCACGGATCTTTTCTTTGGCGGAATTGAGTTTGGCACGCAATGCGGCAATCTCTGCGTCCTTGGCTTCTAGGGTTTGATCGGTCGATTTTCGGGCGCGTCGAACCTCGGAGAGCTCGCGTGTGACGTTCGCGTTTCGGGCCTCGAGATCGGCGACACGGCCCGTCTCCTTGTTTGCCAGCTCTGCATTTGCACTGGTGAGGCCAATATTCACCTCGGTCAGGCGAGAGACTTCGTTTTGGAGGTACTGCAGAGTCTGCTTGAGACTGTCGATCTCGCCGTCGCGGTCAGCCAAGGTGTTGGCGGCCCGCTGGCTGATGCTCGTCTCGGCCATGGCGCGGGCATCAGTGAGCATTCGGTTCTCAGCCAGCAGCTGCTCTACCTTATTCTCAAGCTCAAGCACCTGCATACTCTGTCGGCGTCGCATGCTGTGGGGCCGGGTGGGTGATCGGGGTGAACCGATGCGGCCCTCGCCGTAGCCATCCTGTGAGAACATGTCAGTGAGGCTAACAATTGGTTCTGAGTATACCTACGTAGACGTCGGCCATGTCCTTGGCACGGGCTCGACCCTCATTTGCGACGGGCGTGGAACTGGCGGGCGTGGTGTTGTTTTGTTGGCGAAGAGAACGAAGATCACCGCTCATTCGCCTGTCGACCCGACGGAGCGGCGGTGTGGAGGTGCGGATGCCTGGGCTTTCAGGCCGGAACTTTAGTGGCTCCGGCGTCCGGCGACGGGAGAGGCTGGTGTTGGAAACGGCTCGTCGCCCTGAGCCCTCGAGCATGCCCGGCGTTGATTGGCGGGATAAAGGGGCGTTATCTGATACGCTGCGCTGGCCCGCCACTGAGGCTGAAGAGGCTGGTGCTACCCCTGGTGCTGGTGCTGGTGCTGGTGCTGGTGTTGGCGTGGAGAGTCCTCGTAGTGCCGCTAATCCAGCTCCCGCTGTCACTGCCGCTGCCGCGGCGCCCACGGGAGTGAGAGCGCCATACTGCTTTCGCTCTCTCTTTTCGGGTTCTGGTGTCGGTCCCGGCGTGGACGGCTCTCTTAGTACTGGCGTACCCCGTGGCGAACGTCTAAGTTTCCGTTCGCTTCTTGGCTCTGGTGTCCGAAGCACCGCACGTTCGGGCTCACCCGTGTGAACTCCACTGTCGCGATGCGCCTCTTGACTGAGCCGTCTGCTTCTTCTCTGAGTAGGAGTTTCTTGTCCGAGGCCACTGTCACGCTGCGCTTCTTCGCTCAGCCGTTTGCTTCGGCTTTGAAAGCTCGCCGCGTCACTAACAAGTCCACTGTCGCGCTTGGCGTCAGGTGTCTTCCAGTTGGACTTGGATGGCTCGGCCTCTGACTCGGGAACTTCCTTGACCGGAGCCAAAAGTCTGGAGGGGGATCGGCGTAGGTCGCTGACCTCTGATCCCATGTCCCCCATTGGTGTCGGTGGCTGGCTGTCCTCTCGTAGCAAACCACTCATGGGTTCCCCAACGTCCGGTCCAAGGCGTAGGAGGCCTTGGGGGGAAGAAGTTCGTGCAAGTGCCAGATCTCCTCGGCCGAGAATCGGGCTTTCAATCATGTCCAATGTGTCCATGTGTGTGCCTTGTCGTGGTGTGTCCTTCCATCCTCTTTCCGGTTCGGGTGTCTTGCTCTTGGCTGGAGTTGAGCGCTTGAGTTTGTCCTCGTCCCTATCCGTGTGCTTGTCCTTGCTTGCCTTGATGGGTGTAGAGCTCTCCTTTGACGACTCCGCGTCCTTGCTTTTATGCGAGGGCTTCTTGTCCTTCACCTTGCTCTTGTCCTTGGAATCATGGCCAGCATCCCGTACGTTTTCCTCCATCTCCTTGTCTTTGACGCTGCGGGATGCTTCACCCTGGCGATCACCACGCCTTTTGACTTCTTTGGCTTCCTTCTCCTTCTTGGTATCCATCATGATGATATCGTTGCCTTTGTCTCGGTGTTCGCGCGTCAACAAATCATCACCTTTCTCATCATCCAGTTGTCTGCTCTCATCCTTGTTCTTTCCCTTGCTCCTCCTCTTGTCAGCTTTCTCCAGAAGTGCGATGCCTCCCAGCGCAGCAGCGGCTGCCACTGAGATGTCAGCGACAGTTGATTCGGTCTCATTAGCTGCCCGTTGGGATGTGGTCTTGTCTGTTGCCTTGGGGGTCTTGGGTGGCTTGCCCATTGAACGGGCCTCGCCAGAGGGTGGGTCCTTGGTAAGCTGGGGAGAGACTATGTTTTCGGCGCCCTTGGAACCGACATGGTCTTCGTGAGGACCCAGAAAGTCGAGATCGGCAGTTGCCTTGTTCTTGTCCTTTCTCTCCTCTTGCTGGGCCAATTCTTGATGGAAGACCGCTACATCATCCTGAGAAGACGGAAGGGTATCTGCCGAGGGCTCAACAGGCGCCCTCGACTTGACCATAGCAGTCAGGTTGCGTGGTTGATGTTTCTCGATACTTGAACCAAGCTCCCAAAGGGTATCGTCGATGCCCCTGAGTTTGGAACCTGAATGGTCCCCGAGCAGAATTAATCGGTCAGCTATTGGTGACTCGGGTTCTGGGGTCGCCTCTGGTGTGGGTTGCGGGAGTCCGAATGGCAAAACACTGCTGGGCACTCTGTTGGCCCTCCTTTTCTTCTTTGAATCAAGAGCTCGCCCTGCCTCGGCTGCCGAATAAGGACTGAGCGAGAGCTCTCTTGATATGGGAACAACAGCTCCAGATTCACTGCTCTCAGCCTTTCGACTTGGGGGTCGCTCTTCCGCAGAAGCCACGGGCGTAAGTGGCAAAAGCGAGCCTAGAGGTTGTTCAGAGAAAGGGGGGAGAATGGATTGTCTCGGAGGTGACTCGACGAGGTTAACAGAAGGGGCTCGAGGAACTGGCTCCTCAGTCGAAGCTTTGGCACTGTCTTCACCAAGAATTGGCTTGGTTGCAGTAGCCGAAGCCAAACCTCGTGGTGCATCAGACATGGGCTGTTCAGTCTCAGCGCGGGAGCTTGTCTGCAACGTCTCAGCCCGGGTCATGTCTTTCGCCCTGACATCATCTGCAACTGGAGGTACAGGTTCCGAAGAAGCGCTGGGTGTCCCTTCAAGTCTCGACTCGGAGAGTACAGTCTTTGTCTTCTTGCTTTTCTTTGTCGTCTTCTTTGGTGTAGCCTTGTCATCAGCTGCCTGCTCCGCTGGTGTGTCCGCCAATGTTCGCGGCCCAGTCATATCAGCAATGTGACTGAGATGGTCTGCATCGGGCTTCTTCTCTGTTGGCTGGTCGATTTCCGGTGCCGACATTTCAATATCAACGG